TTACGCGACGCAGTTAAGGCAGCAGGTAGCGTTGGCGGTTAAATGCAGGCAGACGCTCTGCCAAATGAATTTCTCTGACGACACCTTCTCCTGTTTTAATTGGTTGCATCGTGCCGTTCTGTAGAAGAACGCGGCCTTTAAGCAATGCCATTGCGCGTAGCTAGTTACTGCATATATTATTTTTATAGCTAGAGCAAAATATAATTTCAAATGGAAGTTGTTTGGTGTACTTTTTCGTGAAACAATGTTTATATCTCGAGTAATTAACAAAATTATATTCTCTGTAAATACAAACAGTATCGTATTTTCTAATTTTCTAATTTCATATGTTCATTATTTCGTGTAAACACTGGGTTGGCGTGTATAATATAACATTATTCTAGAGAAACTATTTACAAATAAATACTTAAAATAATATTGTAATCAAACCTGTTTTCTGAAGAAAAAGTATTATTGCATCACTAACAAAGTAAATTATGGCAAAAATGCACATACTTTATCTTTTAATTGCGTTTTTACTATCGGAAATACTCGGGCACCCGAAGAATATTAACTATAACTGTAGATAAGCAAGGTGAGCAACAATTCTCATCACATACATTAAGACTAAATTAAGACGTCCTTTTTTTCCAAATTTTAATAATTAGGAACGCCCCCCAGCTAATTCACTCCTTTCAATCTGAATCACATCTACACGAATGTGCGGCAATAGCACTGCTATGTTCTGGTTTGGGAACAGGTATATAATTCTCAGAATATTCGCGTTTAAGTCAGTACGGATACTAAAATCAGAAGAAAAATATGAATATGCTTCAGAGTAAAAAGGGCTAAACAGACGGCGGTGGGTTACCAAAGAAATGTTCGGTGTAAAATGTTAAAAATCTTAAAATAAGAGCCACCCCTGTGTATTGTTTTGAGAGCATATACGACGACGGAGACGCATGTCAATAATAGATGAGAACGGCGATTGAATACGCATGTTGTGTTGTGTTCCATGTGTTTATTGTGTTTCTAATGCAAATTAACGCTGTGCCTGCGGACTCCCAGTAGGTGAGTTTTCTACGTAAAACGTGTACTAGAATACACCGACTGGCAGAGGATGAATAATGTTCACCGACCTCGCGCTGCAGCCGCTGTATGCACTATTCACAGGCGTCGAGGCCTCCTGGTGCGCCGTCGCCGCCGATTCACCCCCGCAATCGAAAAGGTTACTCATTATGGATGGCAACCTTCGGAGGCCACGAGTAAAGGCACGCCTTTGCACAGTTCACAACCACTTCAACTTTGTACCTTTCGTACTTTCTTTCGACTCCTTTTTTGTAACTCATTCCATATCGATATTTCACAAATTATATATTATTTTTCTTCAATAAATTGATGTAGACAAACATATCATCATCATTAAATAATTTGCAACAGTTTGTTGAGTTAAAATTTGAACTGCAATACAATGATTTTCCGTCTTAGTTATTCTGATTGTATTATTTCCAAAAATGAAAACAATTTATCTTCATCTACAAAATACATTTTGAATTCGGATTTTGTTGTAATTTCTTCTGTTACATTTTACTCTACATGTTTAAAAGTTTTATATTTAAGTAACAACCAAATAAAAAATATTCAAAAAATTATATATGACCTTATTTCAAAATCTATCTTTAAGTCACCGATTTCATTAAGGGAAAAAACTTCATCTTTAATATTTTAATTGCAGTAAGACTAAAAAAATTGTAATTTTGCAATTTTCGAACAATTTTGCGAAATCAGGATTTTCAACGAACATGAAACTACACCTTTTTCATAACTGACCATCACACTATCCAACAACAAAATTCAATGAAAAATGATGAAGCAATTTTTTTTTGAAAATTTGGAAAACATCTCAGAGGCTTCATGTTCATGAGGGTTTCAAATTCCAGGGGACGCGACATCAGCTAGATCGATTAATGAATATCAATTTTGAAGAAAATCAGCTGAATGATTTAGCCTCTAGCGTTCTTCACAGACGGAGAGACAGACGGATGGACAGACGTTTTGTCGTCAATCTATTTTTCCGTATCAATGTTCCACCCAACATGGATTCTGGCTACACCACATGTTAGAAGATTTTTTCTCTAAACTTAGCAACTGGATTTATCAACTTTTTCGTTTCTAGGGCCCTACAAAAACTTTTCTGTCGAAAATTCGCCATTTTTCCGCGCAGGATTACATAACTTAATATTCCGTAGCGAGAAAGTAAAAACATTGCTGTTTAGTGCAAACACCTCCCAGCGGTACTGCGGCAGAAGACTGCTGTGAGCCGAACCATGTGTGGCCGACCGCACGACGTATTTAAAACTTTTAGACATAAAACCCACCCTATAGTTTGGATCTCGCCCCTCCTCCGAAGTGATGCAAATTGTTTCTTACATCTCAAGATATTCCTGTCCAGTCAGCATCACCCGCAGGCTTACAAATGTTGATTACATGGATGTCAGATTCCACGGGATGTTTTGGTGATGATTACGTGAAAAATAGTGCAACATGTGCTGTAACTGCTACAATAATGTTTTCATGAGAAACTGTCTTTTGTCTTTGTTGAGGAGCTAAGGAAACTAAGTTTCTGGACGCGCATCGTTAAGTTCTTCTACTTATATCTTTGTATTCTAAAACGAAATGTCAAATGTACTTGCGTTCGAAATAGATGCATAAGGATAGTTGTTTACAGTGATATACAACCTAAATTCTATCAATAAAATGCAAAATGCTTGATGATGTTGCCTCTGAAAAGGCTCTAATGATTGTTCGATAACAGATTCAAATCCATTTGTGAGTGGGGCAGAGAGTATTAGTAGCATTTACGCACTGTACATTTCACAGAATTAATGAAGCGTGGGTTTTGAAATATGTGTTCAAATTCAATTAGTTATTGTAGTAGCCAACATTCAAACAGTGTGCCTTATTCCATGAACTTCTCATTAAACGCACGATGAAAGCGAATGCTTCATGAAAAGCCGCTAAGTGCAAATTGAATGAAAATTAGATTTCAGAAGATGGGTTTGAACACGGTTTGTAATTACACTTTCATTTTCCTAAACGCGATATTATAACTATATGTTTCACAGAGTTTTAAAAATAATTTCATTTAAACTATATATGAAGGAAAAATGATCTATTATCTCTTCATTCATGAAAGTCAGCGCAGGTATATGCTCTCCTTTGAAATGGAAAATCTGATTCAAGCTTCTGAGCGTTAACAACGTTAGCTCATGATGTATTCTAATGCGCAGTTAAAGCTCGTTACACTAGAATGCTACTTCAAAGAAAATTAGAACTTTATTGTTGATACGTATTCCAAATTACATTTTCATATTATTGTTAGAGCAACAAGTACATAATTTTTGGCTAAGTATCTAAAGATTTGATAATGAATGTCTTTGCCGAAAAATTGAACACATTTTCGTCAATTACATTTACAGAATTAAATAATATTATTTTAATATCATATTAACAGTTTTATCTAAATCATCTTTTACCGGTTAGGATCTCAGTTCTCGGATTTTTATCGTCGAGAATCAAATTAGACGAAGAATCGACAATTAATTAAATATCTACTCGTATGATAAATCGAGAGTATTTATCATACATGAAGATATTAAATTAATTCTCATTATCTGGTACCAACCAAAGATAGTAAACTCAATGTATTTTCCGCTGTTTTGTGAAAATGTATAATTAATATTTCAGTAAAATATTTAGTACTAAAACTCAGAATTCGATTATTTTTGCTGGTGCTGTGTATTGATACTACACAGTATATTGCATTGGACGTACCTTCCATCTATTTTGTCAATGCATATTTCGAATATCACTTCATCTTGTCCTTAATGAAAATAAAAGTAATTGTGGATAAGTGAATATAATGCACGTATATATGATGACATTGCGTATATAAAATCAATATAAAATCGGGAATGTGTTTTATTTTAGTCAAGGTGGATCAAAAAATTGTCTTCTTATTCCGAAACATTAAAGGAAACAAAAACTCTAACATAAATAAAATGTTTGAAAGAAGATTCTCATAAAAACATTTTTTGTTTCTACCCCTCCGACGTGATAAAAAGTGACATTTAAAATTTAAGTGTTTTACGTAATTCGATTTCTATTTATGGAAATAAAAATCTTTCATAATGATTTTTTAAACAAAGTTTGATTCAAAATTGATACTGTAAAAATATTTTTGATTAAGAAATATTCTCAAAATTTTTTGACGTTATTTTTAAGAAGAAGAACTCAAACTTTTTATACGTTTCTTGCCTCCAATGAAATCTATCTACGGTATAGCGCATCGGAACGCTCAGTTTCTCTCATCACTGGCCCATGGCCTAGAACGGCGTGTCATGACGAGCCCAGCATGCTCGGAGCACGTATGTGATCTATTTTACCAGCACTGACTCTGAGAATTGAAGGACGGGATAGTAACAGTCCCTTGGAGGCATATACAGGAATGGATTAAGAAATATTTTCAAAAATTTTTGAAGTTATTTTAAATAGTAGGACTGAAACTTACTATGTTTCTTGCCTCCCACAAAATCTACCTGCTAAGCAATCCAGCTACCTACAGTGCAGCGCATTGGAACACCTGCTTCCGCTCACCGTGGACACACGGCCTACTCCGGCATCTCGTGGCAAGCGGAGTGCGCTCCGAGCACGTACGTCCTAGGCACAGGCGCCAACGTTTCGGCCACCAATTTGAGACATTCCTCAGAATATTTCATCTTAAGGAAGGTCGCAGATTGGCGGGTGAAACGTTGGAACCTATGACAAGGACGCAACGTCTCACCCTGAGGAAGGCTGCAGAATGACGGCCGAAACGTTGGAACCTGGGCGAAGGACGCGGCGTCACACGGACAGCCAAGTAGCTACATACGAGATGTATTTTACGGCACTGTTCTAGAAAGTTGAAGCTTGGGATAATGGCAGTCGAGTGGAGGCGGATAAACGAATGGGCGCCAACTCACCTGCGGATGGAGCTGTAGTACTGGTCGAGGAAGTCGCGCGCGTGGCGCAGCACCTCGTCGCGAGAGCGCGGCTGGCCCGAGCTGCGGCCCGGCAGCGACATCACGCTGCCCAGGCACGCCTTCTGCGAGCATTGCGTCGGCTGAAACACACCACGCACACCTCGTGAAGCACACAGGGTTTTTTAAAAATCATTTAATGCCGTTTCTAGACTACTAAAGCCAAACAGCGACCACCGTATATTTACTTTGATTTTGCAACTTTGGGAGTAACGTTTGTGTAACTGGCATACTCGAATCCCTACAAACACCTCTTTCCCCTGGCGGGATTCGAACTCGCGACCCTTCAGACACGAGGCAGCTACTGCTCCTTAGCGACCTCGGATATCCAGTCCGGCTTAAGCATACAGTTGTGTGCGAAATAATATAATTTATCTCTCAACGGAAGTGGGATCATCTCGGGCCAAAGCTCATAGAACCAAAAATAAAAATGTGAAGGATTCTTACTGCTCACAACCTTAGGTTGGGAGAAAATCTCCCGAAAAATATCCTAGAGAGTAAGCTTTAGGTTGGGTTTATTTTCACAGATGCACAAGATATCCATGTGTGACAAACGCGGTTAAGGTCAGATTATCCAACCAAACCAAGCCCAGCCACAGCCATTACAAACATTGCGCACGATTCTCAATTACATACTCAAACAAACTGTTATGACATTGTGAGAATAACAGTACATATGCAAAATACACTCAACACCCGACACATCAAGATAAACACATTTTAATTAATATTATGATAACTTTCCAAAGGATCACAATGCGTAGTAAATATTACTTTTCTGTACATCAACATTAACAGTAGAAAGGAAACTACAAAAATTCAATATGGATGGTACTAGAGAAAAAAAACTTTCGTTTTCTGTAAAAGTCTTTCTCATTACAGGACAAAAATCATTGGATGACTTGAGGTTGGAAATAATAATTAATATATATTTTTTTACTTATTTTATGCTTCCACGACGACCAACGTCAGTGAAATGTAAATAACATAATTCTTGGTAATGCAGAAGTAGTTTCTCTAGACGTTGTTTAGTAAATGACCGAATTCAAAGCAAGTGTTGGAAAATTATTCACTGGCTGTTAATTATGGATTTGCCAAGGCTGTTCTTAAAAAGTTTCCATAGTCAAACATTGCTTCTGAGAAGGGTAAAAAGTCTAAAAACGTTCGTCTGATATTTTTGCTCTGTTTTCGAAAAGCCTTTGATCATGATTATTAATTGCTTCAAAGCACAAAACAAATTTTACAAGAAGACTTCCATGGACCTTGGAGATTTTTGTATAACCAAATAAACAACATTCTGAGAGGATTCTATCGTAGTTTTCTCCCATTTGGCATCGTCTTGGTGTGCGGTGACGTGGTGCAGTGTCTGGTCCACGAGACAGTGGACCGGTCCGGTCGATGCACAACTGCAATCTCTCAGGGGACCACGCGCGCGTCGTAAACGGAGGCAGCACCGATCGACCCCGGCCACAGAACAAGCACTATACTTCCAAGAATCACGGTTCCACGGATCCTAACGCAAAAACCCTGTGGTGGCGGCGAGGACTTTCGCAACTTGAAGATGCTCTAAGACACACCCATGCGCTTACAGCTTATGCATACAATTCACATTGTCCAACAAAGTCGGAAGATATTTTGAAAAAGCATGTTTACTCCCAGTTAATACTTGTCTGTAGCAAACTTCCGAACGACATTTGCCATTACTGTACGGTGTAGTTTCATGAAGAGATTCTTAAAAATTTATGTTTCTTCGACTTCCTTCGTTTTTAATTGCCTTTTCAATTTGAACTGCGATACCATGTATAAATTTTTTAATATAATTTCATTGTGCTTCTTTTTAGATCTTTAAATTCCGAATATAGTATTCTTTAATTTTTAATATGTATACTTTAATTGCTATTTAAATATCGTAAGACAATTAATGAGAACACGTATGGATAAGCACACTTGTAATAGGTTCATCATCATTTGGGTTGTTTCCTCACTTTCCACTTCAGCAGAAAGACGGAACAGTATATTCTATCTCAATTCCACTCCGAGTTTGAGTAGGTTGCAAACCCCACCCGAACATCTGGAACCGAAAGAAGAAGAAGAGAGGGTAAGAGAAAGAAAAAAAAGTGCGCAATTCTAATTCGGAGCAGCGCGCCCTAATGAGCGCGCGCGGCGGGCGTCGCCGCAGCAGCAGCCCGTTCCCAGGGGGCAGGTGAGCGCCTGCACAAAGCCCCCGGCGCTCGCGGGGCGGGAGGAGTTCGCGCCGACAATGGGCGCGAACAATAGCGCATCGCGGAGCGACGGCGGGCGGGGCAGGCGCAGGGGCGGGGCGCCGCCAGAGCGCCCGGGCGCGTGGGTGGGGCGCGGTGGGGAGGGGAGGGGAGGCTGGCCCGCTCGCTCCGGGTGGGAAAAGGGGGCGTGCCGCCGGCGAGTGACCCCCGCCGCCGCCGCCGTCGCCATTTGCATGGAGATTCGCGCGTCTTGTCCGCCCAGATTGCGCGCGCGAGCCCGAAGACCGCTGCCGCCGGCCGGCCCGCCCCGAGGCACGGAGGGCGCGCGGGCGCCTGGGAGCCGACGAGGGTGCCGCCGGCGAGTTAGGATCTCCGCGCCCGCTCCCGTTCACGTTCCCAGAGGAACTTGCCGGCCGCTGCGGACGCGGCTTATGAGAAACGGGTAGGCTAAGCGCTACCGTTCAAGCGGCTAGTCAATAACACGGGGCGGAGAGGATTTAAACTTCCCCCACCCCAACACAAACACCACACCAAAGACGTATCTCTTGCCGAGGTTGAGAAACATTACGTCGTTAATTCAATCCTTCAATTAACTTGGTGTTCTACAATGTTCAGTTCTAGTATGAAGAACTAATTTTTATTTTTATGAAAATATTTTTTTTTCGTGAAAGATAAGTGTTTCACTTACTTTCGTCCTTTAGGACACTGAACCCTCTTCGTCTTTCAGAAGCTTATAATGTCCTTATAATACAGAAGGAACGAAAAGTGAAATTGATCATGTGTTTTGAGATCTAATCATCATATTAATACATTCTGTATAAATACGTAAACGAGCTAATTCAACCTTATCTCCACAGGAAAATGCTTCGTTGCTTGCTTTTACGTGTAATTCTTTGTGAATTATAGGACACGGTATGAAATATATTTCTGCACATTTTTAATCCCTACCTTTGAAGCTACGCTTGAATAAATCAAGGCAAGAACAAGGAACCTTTTCTATTACCAATTGATGAATATTTTATCATCGAAAATACTCGTAAAATTGTTACTTAATTATCATTTTATCGCGCCTTATGCTCAATATGCACAAGCACAGTTTCCACAAAATGAGTCTAAGAGAAACTTGAAACTCTCAGAATGTTAGGTCCACATTTTCCTCACTTTAATCTGCATTTCGCAGACATTTTAAAGTTTTATTGGCAAACTTTCCTAAGAGTTCCACGTACTTGTGAGAGCAGTTCATGTTGACGCTCTGCATATTTCTCCCATTCGCACGTTTCTCAGAGTGAAGTCGTAGACACTCTGGTGCTCTGAGACTAAGGAACTTTTCAGTCCGTGACTTGACATATTTTCAACTCCCTCACATGTATATTCACATACGTTGATATCAGTAGATCACCGGTAAACTTGAATATTGTATATATTTAGATTAGGATTCACCATCCATGAGATATAGATACGTTAGAGATAGATGCGTTACAATGTACTTTTCAAGTCATAAAGTAATCGTCAATGCTCAACATACCGTACAATTATATACTCAGAGTAAGATATTATAAATCATTAATAATAATTATTGTAGTTATTACTTATTTTATCATGCGGATAAATGCAAATGTTAAAAATGTGTACATGTGCGCCACTGACATTGAAATTATCAAAAGTTCAACGAATTCTGGAAGTAGAATAGACCAGCTTTTTGCTTTTCTCGTTATTGAGAAGGAGCGACGCGTATTGTAATGCCTGAATCACAACACTCGTGCTGGGACGAAGGGTCAGTTGCTGTCTCGTGGCGTGCACCCTCCGCCTGGAGCCACGCGCGCGTCAGCCAGGCGGCGGGAGTGAATCTGTTGTGTCGCGACAGTGCGACCGCAACCTGGCAGCGGGGGCGCTCCTTACCCCTCACCCTTCACCCCCCCCCAGCCTTGCCTCGCGCCCCGTGCCCTGCGTTTCTATCGATTGCCCCGGGAGCAAGAGCGGGTGATCCGGACGACCCGTGTTTTTGCACCCGCCGTTTATCGGTTTCCCATCGGGGCGCACCACTGGGCCGCAGGATGTTCCTGTGACAAACAGGCGCGGCCTGCGTGGGCGGCGAGCACGCGTCGCATAGCTCTTCGCCTCCTCACTCCCTCTCTCTCTCTCCTTCACGTGGTTTCTTCCCAAGACCCATCTACTGCGCAATAGCATATTCAGCGTCTCATCGTTTCTTCCTAATCTTACACTCCTCTCGTCCTCTTCTTTACTCATTTTCTCATCTCCCCTCTCTTCTACCTCATTCTCTCATCTATCCTCTCAACTACCTCTTTTTATTTTATCTCCTCTCTTACAACGCATCCCCTCATCTCGCCTCTCTTCTACCTCATTCTCACGTCTCCCTTCTCTTCTTCCTCATTCTCTCATCTCCTCTCCTCTCCTCTCTCTGCTACCTCATTTTCTCATCTCTCCTCTTTACTACCTCTTTATCTCATCACCTCTCTATTCAATCTCAGTCTACTCTCCTCTCTCTTCGCATTTTTGCTTCCCCCCTGTGGTCTACCCTATTCTCACACACCCCTATCTTCTACCTCACTCACTCTTAGATCTTTCTTCCTTCTTTGCATTTATTGCTTCTCTTCTTTCCTAGTTATATTCTTTCTGACGATCTCCGTTGCTCCTTTTTCTTCCTTAAAGTTTCCATTTTCTCGCATGGCCCTGGGCTTCATCACCACAACGTTCGATCTTTAATGCTTGTAATATTGGCTGTCATAGAAACTAAGTATGAGATACTACACCATTTCTTAATATTGCCGAAGTTGAGAAAACGAAAAAAGCAATTATCTATTTGATTTTCAAAAACGATAAACACTACACTAGGTGCTATT